CAAGATGCGAACATCCAAATTTACCCTCTTGCGTTCGGCATAGTCGACGGAGAAAATGATGTAGCAATGAGTTGGTTTTTTACGAAGTTGAGGGAAGTAATTGGAGATGTCGAAAATCTTGCATTCGTAACCGATCGAGGGCAGTCAATAATAAATGGTATCGCCGAAATCTTCCCCGAGACACATCATGGTTATTGTATGTACCATATACAGGGAAACTTGAAGACCAGGTATCGAGGCAATGGCGTCGTTGCGTTGTTTAGGAGAGCTGCAGAGGCTTACAGTTTTGAAGAGTTTGATAAGTTCATGGTCGAAATAGACAGTAAATCGCATGCTGCATGGGAGTATCTAACAGAGATGGGGATTGAACATTGGGCACGATCACATTTTCCAGGACATCGATACAACATGATGACGTCGAACAATGAAAAGTCGCTTAACGCTTTATTCAAGAAAGATCGAGAGTTACCAATTCTTGCAATGATTGAGAACATTCGTGACAAGTTACAACAGTGGTTTCATGATCGACGTGAGGAATCACAGAGTTGTGCAAGTGTGCTAACCCCGGCTCAAGAAGATAAGCTCTTCAAGACTCTAGATGTGGCAAGAAAGGTATATGTAGAACCACTGGATCAATTTCGCTTCTCCGTGAGATGTGCACGTAATTTCGGATACATTGTGGACTTGAATGATAACACGTGCACGTGTAGACGGTTTCAGTTGGAGAGTTTTCCATGTACACATGCAATGGCAGTGGCTATGCATAGAGGATTACCACCACACACCTTATGCAATGTGTATTACATGACTGATTATTGGAGAGCAGCATATGCGGAAACAATATTTCCTGTACCAAATGAAGTCGAGTGGGAAGTACCCGATCACATTCTCCCACTAAATAACTTGTTGCCACCAGCAGTTGGACCACGTACTCCTGGACGTACACGTACGTCTAGAATACCATCTACCGAAGAGTTTTCCCAGCCTCGTAAGTGCGGTAGGTGCGGTGCAACAGGGCATACTAGAAGATATTGTACAAGTCAGATTCCTCTACATGACAATGTAACGGATGTGTAATTTTAATAACTATTGGCAATGTAATTATTTATAACATTGACGTTAATTATTTATGCATATTATTTATGTGAAATATTAGATTTAGTATTTTTTTCAAATATTTCATTCATTACATTCATTTGTTATGCATATTACTTATATTAATTATTTGAAATCGAAACTTTTTCTAGAAACTGCATTATACGTTAGGCTACATTGTAAAATAAATATTTAAATATTACATATACAATCAACATTTTACAATTTTTTCGTAATTACAAATAAATAAATGAATTGTACAATATTTAAATAAATGTAAAAATATGTACAATTATTTACGGATCCCCATTAAATTCAAATAAATCACATGCTAGTTTATTTCTCCAATTTTGTATCCATGCCTGGTTGATTGCATCAACCTTATGTGCCACACTCAAAAATTCTATGTACTTGATGACGAAAATGCCGCAATCACCCCTACAATTAAACAATGTTGTATTAGCACATCGAAAATTAGTTAGAAACTAAGATGTAAATGACAGAAAGAAAATTACAAACACTTACGATATTTGTTGCCTCGTCGTCGTCGTGTTTCGCACGGTGGCCAATCTGTCTTGTACAGTGATGTTCACTCGTCTAGCCATCATGGGAACGATCACAGACAGTGACTCTAGATTTTGCTCGAGCTGGCCTTGTGTCAGGCATGAATGATCGGGGTCGTACACATATATCGTGGAGTCGACGAATACGATTTCCACTGCAATGTAGTGATAATTCAGACATACTAGTACGTACATATGCGTACAGCCATCCCATGGCTTCCCACCGACACTCGGCCACATCCCTACGACTCATTCCATCATATATTCCGGCACCGTGTACTCGCTACCCATAGCCTGGAACGACTGGTACTCAATGTCAACGGCACAGATGAACTCGGTGTTCAATATGAGTCTGCCAGGAATGTTGAACGATTTTGGATGTCTTTCAGCACGATCCCGTAGCAAATCCATGCTCAAGTCGATGTGCTACATCAAGAAACACCAATAAAGAAAGGAGTTAATCTATGAATTTCATTCAAAAAATTGATTTTGAACGTACGTAATAAATAACAATATTTTCATTTCACTTACATCGTCGGCGAGCCAAGCCCCCGAAGTGGTGATGTCGTGGAACCACTTGTAAGCATTTGAGATCGTCTTCTCAGCAATCGTGCGGCTGGCCCTGAAAAAATAAGAACAGAATTTTTAGTTATATGAAGTATACATGTGTCAGCGTTTGCGTACTATAGTAATTACATAAAATACAAAACTGACCCAGGCTGCAGTGCTCTCCACTCTGTCTCAAAGGCTTTCCACTTGGCGTGGTCCACCTCCCTGAATAAATTCGGGTGCGTCCCGTCGACGAACCTTCTCCTCTTCGCCTCCGCGGTAAAGGGAGAAAGAACGTACTGTGATGGCACCCTTGGCCTCTTGCCGACCACCCGCTCCTCATGCGCCTCGGGAATCTCCATCTCACCAGCCATCGGGACGACCCCCTCGCCCGCTGTCGGAACCACCTCCTCCGACACAAAGACCACGACCGGCGAGTCTGGCGTCTTCTCCTTCGGTGCCCCCTCGACATCCCCGGGTATCCCGTGCGCGGGTACCACCTCCAGCTCCAGAATCCTATCCTCCTCCGGTACCCCCTCGGCATCCCCGGGTATCCCCTGCACGGGTACCACCTCCACCTCCACCTCCACCTCCGATGCCCCCTCGACGTCCTCGAGTATCCCCTGTACGGGCACCCCCACCTCCGATACCACCTCCACCTCCATCTCCGGTACCCTCTCCTCCTCGGGCACCCCCTCCACGTCCTCAGGTATATTCTGCGCGGGCACCCCCTCCACCACAGGTATCCTCTCTCGCTCCTCCATCCCCATCGTGTCATCTAAAAATGAATCAAATGTAGCAACTGATGGCCACGATGAGTCAACATACCCCATCTGACCCCTCCCCCCTGATAACCACCGACCCCTCCGTCACCCCCTCCGTCCCGATAGTGACCTGTCCCTCCGCTACCTCCTCCATCTCGATAATCGCTCGTCCCACGCAGGCCTACTATGTCACCCCGTATCGCTGCAACCTCAACATGGAGGTTTCCTAACCCAGCTCGTAACATCGCGACATCATATCGTAACTGTGCCATGTCCCCGAACTCAGCTCGTAGTGTCACGACATTCTCCCGTAACTCTGCCATGTCTCCTCTCATCTCCATCAGGAGGTCAAACAAATCAATCGTCGAAGCACGGGGACTAGGTGCAGGAGGCGATACTGGACGACCCTCCTGAAAAAATAACTATTACAAATGAATAACCTAACAAATAAAATAAAACGACAATCGAAGAATTATTTTTAAGTAACATACTCTATCTCGATCAACGCTGGACTCAGGCATCTGAACCTCTGGCGTAGCTGGACGTGATCTTCTCAGCGAAGGTGACATCCTCGCTGGACGTGCTCTCCTCGATGGAGGTGATATCCTCAACGGAGGTAATACTGAAGATCCTCCTGAAAAAATAAATATTACAAGTGAGGCACTTAGTTACAAGATCGAAGCGATACTGAATAAATCCTGCACAGTGACATACCCTATCTCGATCCATCCTGGACTCAGGCATCTGATCGTCATGCGCAGTACGAAGAGGCAATTCGCGAATATAAAACTGACTTTCCTCCTCGATCGACGGTGCCAACTCAGTGAGAACTTCAAGCTGTTATTTTCATATGTCACAGTTAATGACTATGTATTCAGATTGTAAAAGGACGTACAACATAAATAGCAATTGTATAATACGTACCTCAGGATCGTCGAGGAGAGCCGATAACTGTCTGGCAAGCGGCTTGTCTTGTGCTCGCCAGTGATGCATCCGAGGATAGCGTGTCTCTTCTCTCCTTGCATACCGACTGGCCAAGATAGGGACAGTCTCGTACACCCATATCTGAAACAATTACAATTATTATGTATAGAATTCAATAAAAAAAGTGTAGGTAATTCATTAACTTAAACATATACCTGCAGCGCCAACGGCAGTCCATATGCATCGTATTTGCTCTCGGGCTTATCCCCTTTGGCATTGAAAACCCCCTCCTAAACACGCGTAATGTATCAAGAAAACATCTCCAACCCCATGGGTAGTTGTTGAAGGCATCAATATCTTCAACAACCTCCAAATGAAAAATGTCAATCGATGTCTTCTTGTGATGACATCGGAGTATGCTCTCGATGATAAGCACCAATCCTAACTTCAACCTATCAGACATCCGATCACATCTCCTTAATGCATATCCTAGCTGCGCTAGAGTAATCGTCGTCTGTCCATGAAAATATTCGTTCAACAGCCTCCTGTTCCTCGAAACACAGGCCCTCGCCTCTGCATCATCCGTACATCGCAGTCCAGTGACGAGAGCAAACTCAAATATAGAGAACGTGGCTACCTTGCCCCCAAGATCAAAATGGAGGGCGTCTCCGTCAACTGGTTTCAGCAAGCAACATAATAGGGCATCCAGCAGCTGCCCAGACCACTGTACGTCACGCAACGAATACAATGGCCATAAGCATGATCGACGTAACATATTTGCGTGATCGTCGTCCAGCAAATCCAATACCAAAGCGAAGCTGGTAAAGTTACAATTCGAGGTAACTTTACCAGGGATATGTCTGACAGCGTCGTCTAGATGATATTTCATCCTGCAAAATTTCAAAAATTAGGACCCTATGCAAATAACGTTCGATAAACAAAAATATTAAAAAAATATACTAACACACTGCTACTAGATGCAATAACCAACCGATAACGGAATAAACAAAATGAACGTAAATTACTATTTTCCATATACTTAATTTGCTAATTTGATCGTTTATTTAAATATTTTAATTGCTTATTTTAATTATTTATCTAACACTAAATTAACTTTTTCATTTTTAATTAATGTTTAGACACTTATTTTAATTCTTTACGCATATCGCTTATTTCATATTTACAAATTTATTTCATATTTCTTTTAATAATTTTAATAACACTTATTTTGATCGTTTATTTTAATATTTTAATTATTTTTCTAACACTTAGTATACTTTTTCATTTTTTATGAATGTTTAAATATATATATATATATCTTATTTAATATTTCATTTTTTAACATAAATTTAGCAACACTTGTTTTTAAATGCTTATTTTAATATTTTAATTATTTTTCTAACACTTAATTTAGTTTTTTAATTTTAATGAATGTTTAAATACTAATTTTAATTCTTTACGCATAATGCTTATTTCATATTTACAAATTTATTTTAATTGCTTTTCAAAAAATAAATTTTTTTGCTAATTTACTTTTCAAATTTAATTGCTTATTTTTATTATTTTACAAATGTTTAAATATTTTTTTCAATTCTTTAGATATATTAATTATTTAATATTATATTATTTCTTTTCATTTTTTTACTATTACTTAATATAAAATAATTAATTAATCTAAATTAGCAACTAATAAATAATTCGATAAATAATATAACACTTACATCTTATATTTACTAATAATTTTAAATACATAATAAACATTCAAATTAAGCAATTCAAATAAATAATTACACAATATAAGCCATTAATAATTATTTAATTAACTTCAATAATTACCGGAAAAAAAAAAGAAAAAAAAAAGACGGCCCAGTCAACCGGGTCAACTGGGCCGATCGGCCCAGCTTCCCAGTTGACTGGGCGCCCAGTTGGGCACTGGCGCCCAGTCAATTGGGCAACCCAGTTGGGCACTGGCGCCCTCAGACGGCGTGCCTAGTCGCCATTTCCGTCCGTCTGCTGTCCGGTCCAGGAGATCGCCGGAAAACTCCATTTCCGACGATCTCCACTTCTTCCCAAGTAATAACAACCCATAATTCCACATTTACACAAGTATTTATCAAGAAATATGTATAAAATCATACTTTTTTTCAAAAATAAAAATATAAACATGGTTTTTTTTGGTATACATTTCTTACCTTCTTCAGAGGGATTTTGGCCAAGTGGGTCTCCTGTTTTTCCTTATTTGTCGATGACTGGGTCGACTGTGCTACAGTATTTTCCCGTCTCCTTCGGCTTCTGCTTCGTTTTCAAGTGAGGGTAAAATTGGAATTCTCTTCATTTTTTTTGGTTTTCACGGTTTTTTATAATTTTGCCTTTTTTTTTTCATTGGTCAAAGGCCAGTTTGAAAAATTGGCCGGGTCAACCGGCCAACAACCACTAATTCCTCGAAAAAGAATGGGGGTTTTTGGATAGTTTGGTGGATGGCACAGGTGGTGATAGTGGTTGGGGTTGGTGAGGTACTATACAATCAAAGATCCTCTAGGTAGAAGTAGAAATGTTAAATAGGCCGATTAGAGTTGCTCGATTTGGTTTGGCACTCGACTCGTTTCATCATGCAAATTGAGCACGAGTTAGTTTTACCAAAGTGTGGCTTAATACGTCCTACGAGCTCATCCGTCCTTCAATTTTATTATTTTCTTAAAATTATATTTTTCACTTATAAGTTGGCTCTGTGAGCCGACTCAACACGAGCCAACTCATGCAAGGTGCTTGTCGCTGCTCAACTCGAGCAAAGCCGACAATTGGCTCGCCACTAACATCCCAAGGGTAGAAGAAAACGAAAAAAGTCCCATACTCCAAAATTTTAGTTGCGGTTTTTTAGCATTAGTAATTCGATTTTAATTTGTTTCAATGTAATCACTTGCATTTTCATTTTAATTCCACTATTTCACCTATAAGTGTAATTAACATTAACGTTCTATCATATGTGATTAATGGAATGTGCGATCTAACACTTGTTTGACCTTAAATAAACCTTTTTTGTTTTTGCTAAACTCAAAACGGTATTTTGTGCAATCACATTTCAATTTTGTCTGGCAAACTAATGTTATTCCCTATGATGCCTATACACGAAATTGAAACATAAGAAAACGAACTTGAAGAATAGTAGGAATAGGATGGTAGAAAATCAAGACTCGAGTTCATTGCTAGTGTCTCCGAGCCATTACCTCCCAGAAAAGAATAAATTTTGTTTTAAAAGACTTGTCATCACAAACGAATGGCAAACTAACCGAACTTCAAATCAAAAGTCCAAAAACAAGAAACAACGAGTTTTAGGGGAGATGATTTCAAGAACGAAAGAGACTAAACAATCAGAAAATTGGATTTTTTGCAAAGAGGAAAGCTCTATTTATAGCATTTTAGATGTCACCATTTGTCAAAGCCATAGCCTTTCACAGGGTTGGATCTTTTGGCAGAATGTAGGAGAGAAGGCTAAAATTTTCCAACCGAAGTGTTGATGTGCTAATTCTGAAATTTTCCACATTCGAAATTAAACTCTTGCACAAAACCAAATGAATTCTTATAATACCATAAATGAGTTCATCAAAGAAATGAAAAGGGGAAAAAAGAAGAGATAAGATTAAATCCTTCAATATGTTCTGATAAAGGACAGAAGAAAACGAAGAACGAAACGAGCTAGTTCCTTTGAACGAAACAAAAGGAGTAAAGACAACATCTTAGAACGGATCATTATGAAAGCAAACGAAACTTTATAAAAATATATATGCTAAGCAACTTCCAGGGTGGAAAATCTACACCCCTAAATTTTCACTCGAGTTTTTCAAGCCTTCTTAGCCTTGAGGTTCTCGATCATATCAGCTGCTTCTTGAACGGTGGTGATGGTCTGGGCACTTTCTTCTTCCACACTGATCCCAAACTCTTCCTCGAGTCCCATGACAATCTCAACCTAAACATGGCAAGATTTAAGCCAATAAACACGTTAAAAGTATCTTTGAGTTCTCGTGTTAATTTAAGTCGAGCCCAAATATAGAAATAACCAGAGGATCATGCAAAACTAAGTTCAAATCAGAAAATTGATAACCATTTCTGCAGCAAACAAAAAAAATAAAATTGACTGACGGGTACTGAATTTTAATAAACACAAACTTAGCTCCTGTATTGTAGGGATTAAAATCAAATAAATTTTGATAAAATTTGATAAAATGTGTGCTTAAAAGTTTGTGGGAAACATGGAATATGTGGTTAATATTAATTGTTAACTTTGACTTGTATAAAAATCTGGATTTTAATTGATATCAAACAAGGGCTTAGACTTCACAGATGGTTGGTAATTGTATAGTACTGGACATTATTAAGGAAGAGAAACATGTTAAAAATCTTGTCCATTATATTATTCAGTATTGCTTACCAAACACGCCCTTGTAGTCATCCAATTGCTTTCAAATGTAAAATTTCCAGTCATTTTGAATACATTTTTAAGCTACCCATAAAAAGCAAGCATCAAAAAGGAATTGCTCTCAGGTAAAGGAAATTGATTTGAAAAAGGATTACAATTTGATATTCAACCATATACATTAGAAGAACACTAGATGTGCAAATAAAATTTCTATAATGAAAAATAAATAATACCGTGTCAAGGGAATCAGCACCAAGTGATGCAAACTTGGACTCTCCAGTTACAGCAGAATCGGCGGGGAGAGCAAGTTGCTTCCTCACAATTTCACACACTTTTTCCACTGTCTCTGGTTTGGCCTGCTCAAAAGAAACATCCAGAATTGTCAGTGACCTCGTTTGATTCTCTTTTGTTAATGCTGCACATATCCATTTAAAAGCTACATTAATAGATTAACAATAAAAACCAACTTTATAGACACTCCATGTTTAATAAGGTGGATTAGATAATACTAAGTAGTATCCTGTTAATTGTCATGTTGAGTATTCAGTACCAAATAACTCTTGGAATCTTGTCAATTTCAAGAGCTTGCAAATATATGATATTGTAAACCATATCGACTGACTTAAAGAAAATCTAACAAAAGTATCATTCCTGAGATATGTAATTTCACTAGAAAAAAAGAATCTCGTTTTGGCCACAAGGGAAGTGAGTTGTAACAAGAGAACTTTGGTTTTCAACTCAAGATGTATAAACTCCAAAGGCTGGATTAATTATACAATGTTAACAGCATACAACAATGGAATTAAAGAATGGAGTCTTCGACAACCTATAAAAATGCAAAATGCGAGGCTAAAAACGGACACCAAACAACACAGTTTTGGTACTGACTAAGAGCGTGTTAGGCTAAGCATAAATTCTACCAAGTAAATAAGTTTCAATAAACAATTTTTTACCTATCAAAATTGATAATGGGCATGTCACATATTTTGAGAGTAAGGTAAGAGTTAATTTCAGAGAGAGAGAGAGAAAAAAGTGACCTTCTTTTACAAGTAAGGGGGAAAAACCATTATAAACATCTTTGGAAAACATTTTTTTTTTTTACCTAGCCAAGCATGTTCGAACTTGAATTCCCTAAAACATTTTCCCTCTTCTTGAACGGAGGAGAAAATTTGAGTGCCATACAAATGATGGATGCAAAAAAGAATTACTATGCATTCTATGCATAGTTAATTAACTCCATTTTGCAATGAACCATACTTCTAGAAACTCGTGCAAGAAGCCAATAAATAATTAAAAATGTGAGATTGCAAATAAGTGGAAGAATATATAACAGCAAAAACCAACATACTGCACAGGCAATGCGGAAACGTGAAGGCTGCAACCTAAGAGATGGGAAGCTCTTCCCACTGAAAGAAAGCGAAACCTTCTTCAAATTTGAGACCTGGACCCAAAAAAAATACAAGATAGCTAAAACCATGGGAGTAATAACAAATCGATACTACATTGAGGTTTGGAAACAGTATTGAATGAATTCACTCATAGTGATTCGCTGACAATCTTTAGCTAAAAATAAGGGGAAAAAAGCATAAACACGAGAACTTACGAGGTTGCTAGCACATTCTACAGTCAAGCTCAAACCAACACTCAGAGAACTTACAAATCTTGTAAATAGGAACACATAAAATCGTTTAAGAACTTCAGAATCTTAAAATTATGACAAAGTGCCCCCAAACATGGGGAGCAAGAGCTTAAGTGCCTAGCATATAACCTCAAATATCAAATTTTATAAGCATAAAATCGATAATTAATGTTAAACAAACCCAAAACATAAGCTCAACAAATAAAACAAAAACTTGTTAACCATTACAAAGAATTGAAATTTTTAACCGACAATTAATTAAAAAAATCTCGATTAACAAATGAAGATCAAGAACATCCATAAGATCAAAAACAAACTTAACTAACATTAGATTTTCAACATGAAATGAAGAGATAATTAACAACTAAATAACAGAAAACACGTATGACTAGAGACAGAGGTCATAAAGATTCATAATAAACCTTAACTTACTCAAACAGATTCAATATTTAACCGAAAAAATACATTAAATAAGAAATATAATAAGGATGTAACCTGGTTTTGCTTCAGAGGGCAAGAAGCAGAAAAGGAAACAGAGGAAGCAGTAATGGAAGCCATCAAAAAATGGATCTGGAAATGGGAATGGAGAAAGAGAAGGGGTGGCGGAGTGCACGAGGACGGAGGGACAAAGGAGTGAGGAAAAAAGGGGGGGAGAGTTGCGTGATTTTATTGACAATTTCGTCAGTTGTCTGTTTGTTTGTATGTTGGTTGCTTGGTTTTCATCGAAAATTGGTTCGTTTGGTGGCGATGTTAATGGGGAAATTTGGCAGTGTTTGGACGGTTCGGAATTTAAAATCGGAACTATCAATTATCAACTATGCTATCGGCTTCTTATAACTTTTAGTTTGTGTTTGAGCCATATTATTTCTAAAGAATGTATTTTGAAATACTAGATTGATAGAGAATGTGTGATTAAAATTTTTTTTTATAAATTTGCGTGTAATATTATTTTATTAACGAATGTGTGTTTTAAATGATATCAAATCACTGCTTAATAATACATTTTTTTCCAAAAAATGCGGCTCAAACAATAATATATTTCATTTTTTTAATTAATAAAAAAAAATCTTCTTTTTTGTGTTGGATGCAGAGTCCAAGCCTAGCATGGCTAAGATGACGAGTTTTGAGTTTTATTACGCGACTAAGTGTGATATTTTTCATTTTTGGTTGTGATGGACAAGATAAAGCAATGACATTCTTGGAGAAATGTGGCGAGAAAGGAGTTGAAACGACCAATAGGGTGAAGGAACCGAAGAGGCAGAATCGGTCGAGCCTTTAATAGGGGTTTGATTGGACACAAGTTTATTTTATTAATTTCTTTAGTGTTTCAATTAGTCAAACTTCAATTTTAACCATACATTTTATGAAATCCACAAATTTTACTAATTTTTCAGCCATACATTTCATAAAAAATTTGCTAAATATTTTATGAAAAACTTTGTTAAACAAACCCTTAGCTTTAGTTAATAGGAAGGCATTTTTGTCATTCATTATCCTAGAATTTATTTTGCTAAAGACCTATTTAAACTTCGTTTCATAAGGAGTCGTAGATTTTGAATAAAGAATTATAGTTCTGGAAAATATGATCCTTTTGTGTGAGAATTGTCGTTTGTTGTTGAAAATCTAATCCTTTTGATTACCGACCTTGGGGGAAGAGGAGTTTGGACCCGACTTGGCGACGATGATAACTTCTGGAAATAGAGATTGAATTCAGGGTTGAAACCCCATAATTTGAAGGTGGATTGGATGTTGACGGAATTTTGGATTGATTATGCTACATGAGGTTCTTCAAGGATGTTCCCAATGATAAGTGAGTTGTATTGGTGGCAAATATGTTTTGAATTTCTCTATCATAACAAGGAATTTCTCTTTATCATCTGCATTGGTGGCAAATATATTTTGGACTGATATATATATACGGTTTCAATCTCTTAAACATCGTGCTTAACTTATGCTAAGCATCATGCTTAGCTGGAAAAACTATCTCCATTAAATAAAATTCTAAACTAATCAATTAACGAAAATAATTAAATTAAAACAAAATCAATTAGGAGGTTTAAATTTTCACGTCATTAGCTTCTTCCCATCTCCATTCTACATTATTTGTTTCCAGTCAAAATAATGGCCACCGTCTTCTTCCCCGTTGTTGCATAAATCAATTTATGATCACTACGTAAATGATAATAATTCAAAATAAAGTAATCTGAGTTAAGTGCCACTGTATTCTTCTCTTGAAATTAAGGGCTGCTGTATTTTTCCTCTCTTTAGTCAAATAGATTAATTAATTTCGTCATTTTGAGATCAATTTAGTTTTCCTCTCTTCCCTCTCAACCTGTAAGTTGATATTATAATTTGCAGAATTTGTAATTATTATTTTCTTGAAGAACACAGAAAACTTGTAATTTTTCAAATATTAATTATCAATTATTTAGTACTGGACTAAACTTTATGGATTATATTGAGATATTTTTTATTTATGTTATTGAGGATGTGTAATATTTTGATGACATATATTGAGATGATTATGAGTAAAGGTAAAAGTAATATTGACTATCAATGATCTTGATGGTTATTCAGTAAATGTAAAAGTAATATTGTAAGTCACTTTTTTAATAAAAAAGTGAGATTTAACTTTATACAATATTTTTCACTTTCAAAAAACTTTTTATATGAATAAATGTGTTGACTAACTTGGTAAATGATGATGGCTAGGAATTTGGTTAAAGTTGCTTCATGTTTTGACTGGTGTTTGGTCGGCGAACTGATTTAAAAATGCTTGGCGGTGAACGAAGAAAGAGGAGGGACGATGGTTGCGTCATTTTTTTTTTTTTTTTCATGTTATTGAATTGATTATGATGTTTTAATTGGCGTTTCTCACTTTTCTTTTTTTTTTGAATTTCTGTTTCCTTTTTTTTTTTTTTGAGTGTTTGATACTTTTTAAAATTTTGATCATTTTTTAGTATTTGTCATTTTTTTAATTTCATCATTTTTCTATCACTTTTTAAATTTTTTTAATCACATTTTTGAGTGATAACTGATGAACATCACTTTTTAATAAAAGTGAAATTGTACTTCATTTTTAATAAAAATGATGCCAATACTTAACTTTAAAAAGTGACATTGTGTCGTATATAATTTTATACAATATTTTTTACTTTTATATAATTTTTGAAAGATCCCTAATTTTAAAGTTATTTTTGTAAGTTACCCTTATTTTAATACTTCCAGCCCAATGCTTTTTTATGATTTGAACAAGGTGTCACTCTCTCTCGTTATCAGGTCAGTAAGTGTAATTCTCAACGATGGATTATTACGATTTGATTAACTATTCGTTTGTTAATTTTTATTTTTATTTTTAAAAATTTTCACGTTATTTATTTTATGTGACTAAAATAAATTGTTCTCTTATCACTTCACTTAAGAAATATACAGACTACACTAACTAGTGGCTTTAAGTATGTTCAATTCTTGCAGGCAAAGAAGGTTTAAGGTTTCCTTTATGAATGCTATACTTTTTGTTTTGGGTAATTAGCACAAAACGTTTTTATCTTTTGTTTGGATTGTGATGCCAAAATCAATCAATGGACTATGATGAAAAGGGCTTGGTCCAATAGCTGGTATTATATTTCCATTGCCCGATAATTCAAAGGTAGAGGCCCAACTACCCAAGCCCAAACATGAGGCCACGTGTGCTGCTCCGAGCCATTGGATCACCCAGCTGATCTACGGTGATTTGGTCTTCAATATAAGGGACATTTGGTGGATGCCCTTGTTGACCGAGTGTGATATTTTCTGGCGACTTTTGAACTCTTTAGAACTAGTCATTTTCTCTGTCTCTCTTCTCCTTCGTCTCCTTCGTGTTTTTCTTCCAAGTTCTTTGTGATTTGGAAATTGACTCTTTCTGTGCGAACAGTAAATCTTAGCGATTCTTTTGAAAGGAGTTAGTGGAGTCAGTGAAGGGGTTTTTCATTTTGGCTCGTTGAAGTAGCTGCGTCCGGTTTCCTTTTGTGGGTTTGAGTTGGTTCTTGGTGTCTCTACCATTGTACAGAAGGGTACAATGTTAATTTCTGAGCCCTAACAATTAATTGAACGATATACGGTTGGTTTGGTCCAGTTCTTGGTTGTTTTTTTTTCCTCTATGTGAGATTTGAAAATACTTTCTGTATTTCTTGAGTTTTATTATAACAGTGGTATCAGAGCCTTCAAGGCTTCGTTCGACCGTGATCTGAATGTGAAAAATTCATTTTCACAGTCAGATCCTTTTTTCAGATCTGATTTGTTTTATATATATATATATATATATATATATATATATATATATATTTATTTATTTATTTATTTATTTATTACTGTAAATTGGTGAATTACTAAGTTCATATTTCTGAAGTATACTAATATACGTTTGTAGTTAACTTTTTTTTATTACATTCGTTTATTGATTTTATCTGATATTCATATAATCCCTTTCCGGCTTCCTGTTCTAATGACCCAAATTGTGCCTTGACCTAAGGACATGATCCTTACGGAATCTTGGTGAATTTGGGCATTTGGAACTTGAAGTTTGTTGCATTGAGTACATTGCCATTTCTTGTTATTTTGAACACTGTATGTGTTAATATTTTCTTGATTCTCGAAGCTTCTTGTACATAATAACCTTTGTGATCTTGTGTATTATCACATCTTATTTTGCACCACCTCTTTTTTCTGTTGAACTTTGAACTTCAAAATAAATTTTCTTGTGTTGGTTAAACATTCCAAATGACAACAACTACGTTTGAACTTGGAGTTTTTAATGGAAAAGGGGATTTCCCCATTTGGCAACAAAAAATGAAAGGAGTCTTTGTTCAACAGAAAGTTGCAAAAGCCATTATTGGTGATTTTCCTGATACTATGACTAAAGCACAAAAAACTGAATGTGATGAACTTGCCTATACCTCTATTATATTACATCCCTCTGATCAAGTTTTGAGAAAAGTTGGGAAACATGATAGTGCTAGAGATTTGTGGGAAAAACTAGAAGAACTTAATTTAGTTAAGTCCCTACCTAATAAATTGTTTCTCTTAGAAAGATTTTTTAGTTTTAAGATTGACATGACTAAAGACTTAGAAGATAACTTTGACATTTTTAATAAATTGGTTCAAGATATAACCAATGCTGGAGACAAAGTCTCTGATGAATACAAGGCTGTGATTCTTTTAAATTCATTACCTGAAATGTATAACGATGTCAAAAGTGTCATTAAATGTGGTAGAGATTCTTTGACTCCTGAAGTTGTTATTAACTCTTTAAGGAGCAAGGATTTGAAACTTAAAATTGAGAAGAATGGAAGATATTCTGAGAGTTTATTTGTTAGAGGGAAGTCACTTAATAGACAAAACCATGGTCAGGATAATCAGAGTTATCAAGGAAATAATAATAACAAGAAGAAAGGGAGAGGAAGACCTAGGTCAAAGTCTAGGACTGCGACTGGGAATAGGAAATGTTATGGATGTGGGAAATCAGGTCACTTTATTAAGGATTGCTTTAAGAAAAAGAATGAACAAAGGGATAAGAAAATAGATGAGGGTAATGTTGTTGAATCTCTAGATGATAAAATTGTGGATGTCTATGTTGTTACTGAACCTGTTACTGATCAGCATACTGTAAATTTTTCTGAAAATATAGACCAGAATCAAGAATGGATTCTTGACTCTGGTTGCACTTTCCATA